CAGCATAAGTCCAAATTCCTTAAAAACAATTGCAAGGCTGCAGAATCTGCCATCATCACCATCTGCAAATTCATTGCTGCCTCCATGTCTCTCCCTTTTAAGCTCTAGCCACACTGAATTTCTTTCAGCTCATGGAATTATGACTTTTCTTATCTCCTGGCTTTTCTAAGAATTATATCCTCTGTCTTGAATATGTTTAGCTTTCTGTCTGTTAGACTGAAATTATCTTTAAGAATTATCTCAAGATATAATTTTTTCAGGTAGGCATGCATTTTCTGACACCTCGCTTAAGATATGACACCTGATTTACATTCTTATGGCTCCATATACTTCTCCTATCACAACACCCATCATCTTTATCTATTTATTTATTTCTCTGTTTTCCTAGCTAGACAGCAATTTCTGTAAAATTGCTTACCATTGCATTCTACCATTTAGGTAACTCAGTAGGTACTCAATATATATTTAAGAATCAATAAAAGCTAAGATTTATTTTTTTAAGTCAAATCACTTATTTTGTTCTCTTCGGTTGCATTAATATAATATGTATTTACATTGTAAAAGTTTATATTTATCATTAGTTTACTAGACTTACAACCACTTATTTTGTTCTCTTTGGTTACTTTAATATATTATGTATTTGTGTTGTAAAATATTATATTTATCATTAGTTTATTAGAGAATTATGTCATGAAACTTGAAAAATTTAATAATTCCAAATATTTTTATATGTGTACTCTAGAATATTCACTAGCAATGGAAATAAATATGAAATAAATGTGTCAGCATTTGGCTCCAAAGTACACAGAATTAACCAGGAATGTGAGGAGATAATTAGAAAATAATTTGGGGCTTAAGCTCATGGTTGTTGTGTACAAGACCCCTAGAGAATGAGTTAGCATCATGTGTACATCTGTGCAAATACTGGTTAATCTAGCCAATGTCTTCAAATCTGAAGATGTGTAGTAGGTGTTTTACTTCCCTGCTCTCTGAGACATGTCTTCCTACTGCCTTTTATAAATATCAGAAGTGAGTCTTAATAACACTAAGAAGCTGAGAACATTGAGATTGGGAGATAGGTCTGTATAAGGGAGATATGTGTGGTCAAGAAAGAGACAGAGAGAGGAGAGAAACGGAAACTGAGAGAGGTAAAATATGGATATTGGAATATACAGACAGATCAAGAATTAATTCAAAGAAAAGTAATGTTGTCTAGCAAATAAAGTTCACAAATCTGAGCAAGTCAACATTCCCAAGCTTCCCACGTACAATGCGAATGTAAGTGAGGTGAGGATTGATTGGAGATGTGGTTAAGTGTTTTGTAGTTATCTGACACTCGATGCTTTGAGAGGGAAGAATTAAAGTACAAAATGGGATGAGAATCTCTTTTGAAGTAAGTAGCATCAAGAACTTAAAACAAGGACACTGCAAAATAATGAGGTTTGAGGTAAAATCAAACAGCATTTTTTACCTCTAATAATAGCATGTATTTGAAATTCTCCTTTCCAAATGTACAATAATAAAGTAAGTATATGTTTGATTACAGAATGAACAAAGTAAAAATAATTTTAAATTAGGATCACAACAAAACTTTCCAAACAAATACAGACACATTTATTTCTTTCCTTTAGAAATTAAAAACAAGAAGATTTAGAACTTCATATAATCACAAAATTCATATGGTTTAAAAGGTCAGAAAAACCTTAGATACTCCTCCATCTTTGGGAGATTAATGTGAAAGTAAAAATACAGCAATAGTGACAGCTCTAACTTTTGTCTTTTAATATCTTACATTAAAATACATATAACTTTTGTATTTAAAAGAAATAAAATTATAGTACACTGTGCTTTCTGCACTGGTGCTACCTAACAGTAGGGAAACAACAACAAAAAAAGAAGTAGATTTTTAAAACTAAAATGACAGGATAATCTTCAATAATCTAAAGTTTCCTTTATTTTGTTTCATTGATTTTTAAGATATGAAAAAAATCTAAAGTTGGTTAGATATCAAAGGCATTGTTTTTGTTTTTATTCAATAAATTTTTAGTATGACCTTATTCTATGTAGTAAAATATGGAGCTGAGAAAGGGGTAGTAGAAATGCAAATAAGGTAACATATCTGTTCCAAAGAACCATCTAACCTGAAAAAATATGTTTTTTTCTTTACTATTCTCTCGTCCTTTAAAAATATTATTTCACAAAACAGCAAAGTTGTATTTAAGAAACTATAGACATTTTAAACTTTAAGGGCATTTGTTTTATATTATTTTAATCTTATAAAACCAATTGGCATAACAAATACACTATGCTAAATGGTAAAGCAAATAAAAGCTGGATGTATTTCTTCCAAGAACTCCTAAGTAGACCTCATAGAAAAATGAGGTTGCTTGAAACATATCACAAAAAAATGTATTGCTTAAGATAATAAAGTATAACTGCCCTATTTCAGAGGTACTTATAATAACAAATCTGAATAAAAATTCTGTAAGCATTTGATTCCCAAAGTCTCACTGAAGTACATGGAATAATACAGTGTGTTTAATTTTTAAATTGTTGCTGCTAATACTATCATTCTGCTGATAAAATGGTAAATATGGAATTATTGTTTAAAAATATGGCCAAAAGTATTCAAGTATTTATTTTTAAAATTGTATGAAGATACTTTTTTTAAAAATTAATTAAATACATTTGCTTCTTCAACTGTAGATTTGACTCTTTCACAGTAGCAACAAGAGCATTATATACTACAAATCGAAGACACTGCCATATCTGGGGTTAGTGGGCTTAACTAAATACATTTTTATTTTATTTATATATTCCTATTAGAAATATTTATGTCTATAATTTTCTTCAGAGCTATAGACTTTCCTAAGGATATGATTCTCAGATTAAACTCTAAAACTCGCTGTATATATTTGGAGACTGGGTTAAAGTGTATCAAACCCACTTAAAAAAGAGCAACTTAATATAAACCTTGTAAAAGATTTATCTTTGAAATGAATTAATGTACAAGGTACTTTTCAGCAGCCATATATAATTAACTTTTTTAGATTTAATACATTCATACTAATGTAATATAAAAAGGCATTTAAAAAATAAAGCATATTAAAATCTAATAACTAGTGGCCAAAAACATAAGTTAATGGTTTTAATTACTAGAGGCCTGGTGCATGAAAATTCATGCACTGGAGGGAGGTCCCTCAGCCTGGTGTAACCCCCTTTCACAGTCCAGGAGCCCTCATAGGCAGGAGGCAACCTGGTGATCAAGGGAAGGTGACACCCCCATCACACCTCTGCTGCTGCCACTGCCGGCAGCACAAGCCTCGGCCGGCCCTGGTTACCTGAGCCTCAAGCAGCCCTGGGTGGCTGAGCAGCCACCATCCAAGGCTGGCCTGCACCTTGGGCGGGCCCTGGGTGGCTGAGCAGCCGACAGCCAAGGATTGCCTGCACCTCATGCCGGCCCTGGGCAGCTGGGGGCTGAGGGGATGGAGACTCTGGAGGCAGGTGCCCCAGTGGGCTGAAGGGACTGGGCGCCGCCATCTTGTGGCTGTGGGCACCACCATCTTTGAGGGCATGGAATTCAATTAGCATATTCCCTCCTTATTGTCTGTGGGCGCCACCATCTTTGCAACAGTGTGAGGGTAAATTAGCATATTCCCTCTTTATTAGATAGGATCCTTTCATTCATTGAACCAATAATGATTGACCTCCTACTATGCATAAAGATGATTCTTATAGATGCTATTACTTTTCTGCTTCAAAACTATTTTTCAGAAGTTATAGAAATCTCCAAGTTTCCCAAGGTTTATGCTAGTTGACAGAACTTTAATGAAAAACATGTTTGGTTTTCCTATATAAATCAGATATAGACCCTTCTTATGCTTCTTGGTATTGAGCTGAAAGAAACACATTGAAATCTATCAAACTAAATCATGGTATTATCTTTAACCAGAGAGAAAAGTCTCTATACAAGTTTACTTAGTGGTAAATTATTTAAAGCACAGCTATTTTCTTAATGAGGAACTATTTTGAAGTTATGGAAGTTACCCTGAATTCATAATTATACATGTCAATGAAGTACTTCACAGATGAAAAAAACCCACACATTTTGAAATATGATCAATGACTATTTAGTATCTGTAAAGCAATTTTTTGAGAGGACTGTGAAGAATAATGTAGCTAGAATATTGGCTTCTTTCATATAGTTATAGTGTTAGAAAAGTAAAAATTAGAACAGCTACAAAATACTGATAATATTATCAGTTGCTAAAATAAGTTCTGTTTTATTTAGAGTGACTATTGAATTTGAATAAATTGACTTAAGCATGATTTTCTATTGTGAATATAAATGTGAATAAATGTATATTAATATTGGAGAGATAATAAATTTATCATATTCCAGTAGCACTTGTAGTGCCTTTAAAGTAGTGTTAACCATTAACATGTACTAAAAGTACTTATTAAGAACACCAATAAAATATAATTTAAATATAAAATGGAAATGATAAAATTGAGAGTCCTACAGAGGAGTAACTAATTAGCAATATACAGCAATCTTATACAGAACTAGAGGCCCAATGCACAAAATTCATGCACGGGGGGGGGGGGGGGGGCGTCCCCTCAGCCCAGCTGCACCCTCTCCAATCCGGACCCCTCGGATGATGTCCGGGAGATTGGGCCTAAACCAGCAGTCGGACATTCCTCTCACAGTCCTGGACCGCTGGCTCCTAATCACTCACCTTCCTGTCTGTCTGGTCGTCCCTAACTGCCCCCCTGCTGGCCTAGTCACCCCATGCAGCCTGCTGCTCAGTCATTTGGTCATCCCTCACTAACCCTCCTTCCAGCCTGGTTGTAGGCAGCCATCTTGTGAGGGTGTAATGGTCAGTTTGCATATTACCTCTTTATTATATAGGATACCTACAATGCACCACAGCCAACTTTGTCAGCCACTCATGGAAACAAAGAGAATAACTACTGAAATGCGTAAATCTTGCACTTACCAACCTCCACAACACTAGAACAGTTGGGATCTGTGAAGCCGTCCAGGCACTCACAGGTAAAGGAATCTTCAGACAAGCCTGACAAGCAGATGCCCCCATTTTCACATGGATTGGGATCACAAATATCACCTGAGGAATAAAGAAACAAACTTTTACTTTTTTATTTTTGTCTTAGTACTGAAATGCACTATTTCACATACCCCTCTCATCTTCCTCTGGTAGAGTCACCATACAATTCAGATCTACAGATAATGTATGCAAGACCCATTTGAAACCATGTGCTTTTAAGGAAGATGGTGCGTAACATAGCAAATATTAACATTTATAATTCAAACAACTCATACTGAATTGCACAGTAAAAGCAATTAATTTAGTTTCGAGTTCCTTCATTACATGCAAATGAAATACTATCTAATTTGCTAAAGATTAACTGAAATACGTATGGTAGACTGGTTTATTAATTACGCCAATAAATAACCTATCAATATCCACATACGTTGCTCTGTAACTTTCCAATTCCCCTCATTAAATGGGTGGGTTTATTGCTGGATCCTAGTCTCTGGGCTTGTTCCTGTGACTTGCCTTGGCTAGCAGAAAGCTAGCAGATTTGAAGCCAGCAGAGTTCAGAAAACGCTCTTGAGTATTTCCACTCCCTCTCTTGGCACCCTACCATGTTTTGAGAATAAATTCAGGCTAGGTTACTGGAAAGAGGTAAGTTAAACATGTAAGGATAAGAGAGAAGCTACCTAGAAAAAAGTTGTGCCATAACGAAGACCTAAAATATGTGCCCTTGGCCTGGAACTGGGTAGCAAATGCAATGTGGAAAGGCACTGAGAGAACGGCTCTCGGAAGCTAGAAAAATGGCTATCCCTGTTATGTAGAGAGAAGCTGTCACCTGAGGAAATGTCTGTGGTGGAAAATGCACCTAATGAACTTTTGTATACAAGCAATGAGATTTCCAGGCAGAATGTGGAAGTGTCAGCTGGCTCTTAGTAGTCTCATTTGAGAAGGTACTATAAGAGGCGTGCTAAATAAAGGACTGACGAGTCTGAAAGTACAGAAAAGTAATATGGAGGGACCAGAACTTGTGGTAGAAACTAAAGCTCTTTCTCAAAACCTGGCCTCTCAAACAAGTAAAAAATCAAGTCCAAGGCTTGGTCAGAAAGACATGGCTTCAACATAAGTATCAAAGCAAGGCTATGACTATAAGATTCTTTGTGAAAACATTTCAGATAATTCAGATGCAACTTGAAAGACTCTCTCAGGTAATTCAAAGGGTTTCTAGAAATCTGAAGGATATTATCCCTGAGCTGTCTGGCAGACCCAAGCATTCAATCTCAAATGAAAACAGGCTTCAGACAGCCATGGGTGTGGCTTTATTGCACAGAGAGGATGTGAATCAGAATCAGAAAAGCCTGTACAGTGTTTAGGGGACCTTGCTAGGTGAAAGTACCACCTCCTAGATTAAGAGAATAAGGCTTTTTATTTATTTTATTTTATTTTTTAATATATTTTTATTGATTTCAGAGAGGAAGGGAGATGGAGAGATAGAAACATCAATGATGAGAGAGAATCATTGATCAGCTGCCTCCTGCATGCCTCCTACTGGGGAACGAGCCTATGTGCCCTTGAACATAATCGAACTCAGGATCCTTCAGTCTGCAGACCAACGCTCTAGCCACTGAGCCAAACCAGCTAGAGCAGAGAATAAGGCTTTTTAAAAGTTAAAAATGCATCTGGCTCCAACTCCATAACACTTTACCTTTGTTAAGAACTTTATTCCCAACTAGAGGCCCGATGCACAAAATTTGTGCAAGAGTAGGCTATCCTTCCCCCGGCTGCTGGCAACAGCTTCCCTCTGGCATCCAGGATTCAGGCTTCCCTCCAGCACCCTGGACCTGGAGTCCCCTCCAGCCACTGGCACCTGGGACCCGGGCTTCCCTTGCAGCCTGGCTTTGTCCAGAAGTTCGTCTGGAAGGATGTCCCGTCTAATTAGCATATTATGCTTTCATTATTATATATAGGAGTTTTCCCTTGAATTACTTCATCTCTTTTCTCAGCTAGCCACTTTAAAATTATAGAAAAATGAAAATGGAGGTTAAGATTATTGTCAAATTTATAAAGCAAGTCATTAGCTATACTAGATAATATATAAAAATATTACATTAGCACTGAAGCAGATATTAAAAAAGAGTCATGAAATAAGTGAATAAATGAATTAATATGTTTTGAGAACACTGCCAACTGTAGGAGGGCTGCATCATGGAGTATTTGTTTAGGAATAGCTGAGAAAGTGTAAATAGGTCAGATCAGAAAAGATTAAAAAGTGACCAATGTAATTTATAAGATGAAGAGCCAATGGATATTGTTACATGTATATTAAAGTTTTGACATGAGCATATCTATATTTTAAGAAGACTATCATGGCAGAATTCTATAGAGTACAGTTGAATGGGAAGGTTGACAACTGGTAAAGATACTTCAATATACTTTCTTTCTACCTTTTATATTTCTAGCTAGCTCAGTCACTCAGCTATCCCTCCTTTGTCCATTCATTTGTCCATCTATTCTTTTGTTCCTTGAGTACCTATTTTACGGTAGGCACTTAGGTAAGTTGAAGTTGGACATACAGAACCAAAGACAGACTTTACCATGAAGAAGTACAGAGCTTACCAGGGGAGATAAAAAAATCAGCACAGTGACAAGAGTTGTGATTAGTGTACATGATCCAAATTGTAGGGTCAATGGAGACTTCTAAAAATATGCAGTGCTATCAGGTGATATGGCAGAGGAGGTGCATGGCCAACATTCTAGGCAACAGGAATTACATACACAAAGGGAAAACATCATGGTTCATTCCAGGACCTTCTAAGTAGGCCCCCACAATTAGAGGATAGTTTTATGTGAGCAATAGAGAGAAATAAGCTCAAAAGGCTTATTTGGGCCAAAATTTTTAAGTTCACCTTTAAGCAGTGGAAAAATCATAAAAGAACTTAATGCATGACAAAGCAAGTAGTCAAATTTGTGTTTTAGAATGATGACTACGGCAGCATTGTGTTGGGTCAGATGAAGGAGTCAAGGCTGAGAGCAATTCTCCCAAATCAGTACCATCCCTCCCCCCAGATAATTAATCTAGAGCAAAGAAATTAGCATTGAAATTTTCTAGAAGACTGAATTACCCAATTTAAAGTGAAACCATGTCTCTCTGCCTTTGGTGTGAACAAAGCAGCACAGCTTTGTACAGTCAGACGAATAACACTACCATCTCCTAACTCTGTGCACTGAATGGAGATGACTATGAATGAGGGAACATTTTTTGATGAGACGTGAGTCAAAATTTTGTGTATTGTAAATACTACATACAAGTGAAGAGGAATTCTACATCCCCCAGACTAGATCTGCTGTTGCACCAGATCGAGGCATGCTGAAGTTGTTTCTATTGCTTTATTTACACTGACAGAGGCAATGTCTCCAGGAGAAAGGCAAGGCATGAACAGAGTCCTAGAGGTTCTCAAGCATCCTCTCTGTATGTATCGACTTATCCAAAATCAAGAACCTCTCATTCTGACCCCTCTCACTCCTACAGCCAAGTTCCTGGATAGTTTGTTCACTGATGTGATCTTACAGTCCAGATATCCCAAGAGCCACGTGAAGCTATACTGTCTGGTTCCTTTGATTATCCCATCATTATGGGTAGTTTTGGTGTCCGAAGAAAACTTTCTTGTTACTCTGTTGCCCTTTCAAGGTGATAATACTTAATCTAACGGGTTTTCTACCAGGTGTGTATGCCAGTCATATAATGCTTCTGTGGTCAAAATGAGACAGGATGATCTGTTTACCTCTAATTATATCTTGTGGATTCCAGCTGCTGTTGAGCTGACCTATTTTTTCTCATCCTTGTACTTTTTGTTCTTTTTGCTTATGTTCACTTATTTCTAAGAAACTATATACTTGTAAAAATTCATTTATCCTCACTATTGATATTTACCTAGCATCTTTTTGAAAGATAGAAAAGAATAGATTTGACAAAAATGATGTACAAGGTAGAATCAAGAAGACATTGTGCCCTAACCGGTTTGGCTCAATGGATAGAGCGTCGGCCTGCAGACTCAAGGGTCCCAGGTTCGATTCCGGTCAGGGGCATGTACCTTGGTTGCAGGCACATACCCAGTAGGGAGTGTGCAGGAGGCAGCTGATCGATGTTTCTCTCTCATCGATATTTCTAACTCTCTATCCCTCTCCCTTCCTCTCTGTAAAAAAATCAATAAAAAATATATATATATATAAAAAGATGACATTGTGACCAAATTAATGTGAGGGTTGCGGGAGAGCAAGAAATCTGGTTTGACTGATTTCTAGAGCTCCTCCCTGGATGACTGAGTGGCCATCTTTTATAAGAAAATATATTAGGTTTCAGTTTAAAGGAATTATTGTGTTTGAGAGTCTGTGGGATATCGAAAATAAAAATGTCCATAAAGCTATTAATTAAGCAGATATATGATTGGAAAGGTTTTCAGCACATGAATTGTTAAGTATGAATGTGAAAATTATATTTCAGGGAGAGACTTTGAAGGGAGTGCAGAACAGGAGAGGAGAGGCGAGCAGAGAGGTAAAAGGAGGAGGGGAGAGGTCCTTGGGAACACCAACAAATAAGTAAAGAAAAGAAGGAAGATTCATTTAAAAAAAAAAAAAGAAAGAAAAGAACATAGGGTGCACCTTTCTGATGGGTGTTTCTGTTTCCTTGGGATATATTCCTAGAAGTGAGTGGTATTACTGGGTCAAATGGCAGTTCCATTTTTAATTTTTTGAGAAAATGCCATACTGTTTTCTACTACATAGCTGTAAAAAAGAAGGAACTCTTACCATTTGCAAAAGCATGGATGGAAATGGAGAGCATTATGCTAAGTGAAATAAGCCAGTCAGAGAAAGATAAATATCACATGGTCTCATTTGTGGAATATAAAGAACATCATAAACTGATGAACAAAAATAGATACAGAGACAAAGAATCATCAAACAGACTGTCAAACTACAGCAGGAAGGCAGAGGAAGGTTGGGGGGGGTGGTAAGAGATCAACCAAAAGACTTGTATGCATGCATATAAACATAACCAATGGACACAGGCATGG